CAAATACTTAGATAAGTAAAACATAACAAATAACTTCAGTATCTAACTAAGCCTCTGTAACTATGGGAACTATCGGCACTTCTGGATGTGGTAAGCCTAAGCCTAAAAGCTTGCACATTCAAAAATCTTTACTAAACTTAGATCGACGAGCAGATGGATCATTCCGGAAATGGATTGCTTCCTGCCACATTCCTGTACCAGTCTCTTTAAACTACGAATTCACGCCTTATTTAAACCTAATTTAACCTGCGTTCTAGTGAACTTTTACGGAAGAAATATAAGTTAGAAGAAAGAACTAACATAAAAACAACTTAGAAGCTGAAATAAGCTTTCGAGAGTAATAGGTTAAATGTTGAATTTTGTGATTCATTCATTAAGAAAAGATCTTTTCTTTAACCTTTAATTAAAATGCTGAAAATAATATTAAGCTGGACTGGGCCTTAGACTGGAAAGTATGGAACCCTTACAGTACTAGTTGAAGCTTGAAAAGCATGAAAAACCTAATCAGAAATTCTTAATCTTTTATTTTTATCCCGCCTTTCCGATAGGGATTTCGAAATTAATATTAGAAAACGCTTCAAGGAAAGTGCATTACGAAATGAAAGTTATTTTGAAGCAAATATATTTTAGGAGTATTAATAAAGATAGGAAAATTGCCCAAAAGAAAATACTTTAGAAAGTTCTCCTAGAGAAATCCGATGACTAAAATAAAACACTGTCATAAATTCATTTGTTATTAAGGAACATTTTATTCAGTTGTATCTTAATTGCAAAAGTAAATTATTTGTTGTAAAAGATTAACTAAATACATGATCTTTTTTATTGCTTTTAAACTTTGTAAAACGTCATTAAATTAAGAGAAGGAAAATAGTTTTATTTAATTACCTTTCAATCAAAAGTCGCTCATTAATTAAAAACAACTGGGAAATTGGGAATAGACATGTTTATTAAATAAACATACTTTAGCAAAATAAAATAAATCACTTCAAAAGACTTTTGCGTTATATGACGACGGTTTACAAGTCGATAACTCGGTTAACAAAGAATTAAATGTTATATTAACTTTTCGATAGTGTTCGCTTCGCTATTCCTGTTTGACATTGCTACATTTATCTACGCAACAGCAAAATTATTCTGTACTTTAGAATTAAAGTCATGCCACTAAGTAAAGGAAACAGCGACAAGCAGTTTTATAGATACTAAAGTAAATATCATCAGTAGTGTTACAGAAACATAGGTAAATACTTTCTCATTGATATTGAGAAGTGAAATCAAATTTTCATAAATCTAGCATAATTAGAAAGGTATTTTATGTTTCCACACGAAATCAACTAAATCTGAAAACTCAATAAAAGATGTGTAAATTTCATTACTAATTCGTTACATATGCATTAAAAATACCAAGATGTCAAGGAAATGTTCAGAATTTCATTACTAAAGCATAATACATTCATTACAAATTAATTCCTAAATTTAATATTTACATACTTAACGAAATGAATCTAATTAGATTCTGGTACTTTGTGAAAAGATTATTGCTGTTTATTTCAATAAAAGCGTATATATGTCCGGTGAACTAATGAGTTCAGAAAATTGGTTATTCTGCTCTCTGCTCTATCACAGTGTAACTCTGAGTCATTTTTCGAACAACTGGTTAGTATGTAAAAATTAGAGTTTCTTTTACTGCAGAGTATTCAGTAATCTCCGAACGATTATGCAGTCTGGATTTTAGGAGTAACTAGCCGAAAAACACAGTAAAAAAGAAGACGAAAAATTCTTGATGAGGCAATAAAAAGAGGTAAGAAGAAATTAGGCTTAAAGGAGTTCTCGAAAAGATAGAAAAGAAACTTTAGATTCTGGTACTTTGTGAAAAGATTATTGCTGTTTATTTCAATAAAAGTGTGTATATGTCCGGTGAACTAATGAGTTCAGAAAACTGGTTATTCTGCCCTCTGCTCTATCGCAGTGTAACTCTGAGTCATTTTTCGAACAACTGGTTAGTATGTAAAAATTAGAGTTTCTTTTACTGCAGAGTATTCAGTAATCTCCGAACGATAATGCAGTCTGGATTTTAGGAGTAACTAGCCGAAAAACACAGTAAAAAAGAAGACGAAAAATTCTTGATGAAGCAATAAAAAGAGGTAAGAAGAAATTAGGCTTAAAGGGGTTCCCGAAAAGATAGAAAAGAAACTGAGGAATAAAAAAGTGTGTAGTTGGTAGCATCTTAAAAATTTAGTAATTTTAAATTATTAATTCTGAAGCTAAAAGCATAAATAAAGAAGACAGCAAAATCTGAAGGTGAAACGGAATACCTTTAAACGTAAGGCTGTTCCGAAAAGTTCCCACCCAAGTTCAAGTGCATAACTGACTGTTTGAATTGGGTAACCCGGGATATAAATCCTTTCTGACTTTTGATTTAGTGAGTTTTCAAGTTTAATATTTTGATCGTTGAAAATTATTTAATTCTTCATATATAAGGAATAATATCTACAATTGTTCCATTGAAGTTTTATAGCTTCTTATTTGATCCAAATGTTTATTGATCAAGTATTTATGATTGAAGAGCTGATAACTTTTAGAACTATTTTTCGAATTCTCCCAAAGCATGGAACAAATCCATGAAACTAATTTCGAGGATTATATTCCTTTCTTATAACTGCGATTTTTATATAGAATTTTAACTGAAGATGGATTTATTAAAGTTGGAGAATGACTTTTTCTTTTAATATTCCAGTACAAAAATTTGTGAGTTTGGAGTTATCAAGTTGAGCTACGAGATTTCTTCTGGCTGGTCCTTAATATTGTGATAGACCAATTTTTGGAATTTATGGTTTTAACTGTGTGACGAGGTCACATTGAATTAATTATTTACTACGTTATGGCAATATTTAGATATTTGCATCAGATTCCTTTGGTGACAGTTTCATTTTTTTCGCCAACTTGTGTTGTAAGGTGAGGAACAGATTTCATCAGACAACTGTTGTAAGCGGAGGAAAGTATTGCATCAGACAACTGTTGTAAGCGGAAGAAAGTATTGCGTCAGACAACTAGCGTCTTCACTTCTGTTTGCCTGGGTAGCTGAAGGTATTTTGCGATTGGTTGCCTTCTGACGCTGGATCTTTTTTTCATTGGGCGGCAAAACTTAACTGTGGAACTTTATAAAAGGCGTTTTTTTTTTGTCTACGAAGAGGGAGGAGAAGGAGGAGATTGTGAAGGTGCGAGATGGAGATGCTGCATAGAGAAAGACAGTAAGAGTGGAGTAAAATGCAAACTTGTGGGAGTTTATCGTGCAAGCTTTCTTTGGTCTCCCAGTGTGTATGAAGGAAGTGATTTTCTTTCTTTTTGATGTTGTAGCTGCAAAATTTAAGCTAATCTCCTTTTCCCCGGGCTTGTCATTTTCGCCCGGCATCCCGATGAAGAGTACCTGCATGTGTGTGAGCTGAAATACACCAAGTCTTCGAGGGGCTGTGTGGAAGAATTGATCTATCTTTTTTTGTTCTGAGTGAGGAGGCCTCATATCGTCATGTGACATACCAGATTAAAAAAAAGAGGAATATCTCTTCAGTCTTGTTAGTATCCAATAAAGCAAGAATTAAATCTGTTTTCACGTGTTTGTCACTCTCTCGTCACGGCGGGCTATAGACCTGGATCTTGTCCTGGGGTAAGTTGCCACTATATTCCTGTTTATCATAACATGTGACATATACGTTTGCCACCACAACCAACGAAAATAATCACTACCACAAACTGGTTTACTTTTGGGTTATTTAGGATACCCACGAAATGACGCAGAATGTGTTCCGAGACAGTTTGTGTAGATAGGATTATTTATTTGCATTGATCAGGTTTGTAAAATCGACAATGTATTTTACACAATGCGATTGTACATGATAATTATTTTGAGGAGCATTGCAATTTTCGGCAATTAAGACTGCGTGAAATTTTCTTTACATATTTTTAATTTTTACGATGAAAATTATTTGATTATTTGTTATGTTGTTGTTACTTATGCTCACTTGTTTGACATAGTCAGCCCAAGCCTATGAAATAACTCGTTACAAGGAGCGCAAGTTTATGCCTGTCGTCAGCATCAGCCTTGAGCACCTCACAGGAAAAGTGCGATTTAGCTCAATTTTGATCGAAAGAACGCCGAGGGGACGGGTCCGAGAATCTGGAAGTCCGCAAACATTTTTGCGGTTTTGCAGCTGAGGATGGTGGTTCGGTAAAACTATCGAAACCAGTCCTGTGATAATTTTGAAAATTAACGCTGATTTTTGTTGTTTGACTTCTGAATATGGGTGTATTATCAATATATCGAAGTCAAAAACTGTGGATCTGTCCAGAGCTGCATTAGATCTGCTTCTGTGAAACTGGATTTTTTTAGTGCATCCCTATGCAAGTAGCAAACATCTAGAGAAGAAAAATGCTTCCTGTTCACGTGCATATCTGACCTATGTGCCACGAAATAATCCTTTTCTGCCCCAAGCTCTCTTGTAATTGAACTCTTATTATGCAGTCAAGGCCATATTTTTCAAGATGTCAAAGGTACTGGTCACTTAGGCAAATGATAGGAAGGGGACCCTCAACGATTTATATACGGTAGTTGAATCTTATCACCTTCACTACATTCATAGTTTTCAGCCACAAAATTACAATACTCAACATTTTATATCTCCCGTAATTTTGCGCATACATAGAAGTTTATCCCAAAGAATCTCGCATATTTTTTAAGTGTCCGCCCCTATCATCATAATCCCATTCTTTAACATTTAGTATGTTTCAGTTACTCACAATTTATGAAGGAAGAATTTCTTTAATATGTTAAGTTTTGAAATAGTTGCTATAAATATCATTTCAGATTATTGCATCAAAAATTTTTAAATTGAAAGAAAATAAACAACAAAAACAAACGAAAAAACCAAATGGAGTTGTGCATTTGATTTGGTTTCGATGTTTTATTGTACGTAAGTAAAAATTCGGAGTGCTCGAATAAGACTTACTTTTCTCTTCGAGTTGACGCTCTCAATTTGCTTCTGTGTACATTCACCGATGCTTTGACTGCCCCATAATTCTCTTCCGACTCTGAAGTATGTGAAAGTCATCGACGTAATAGGTAGCACATAAGTCACGACCAGAATTACTACATTGTATCTGAAATAAAACAAAACAAAACAGCTATTTTAGACTACAAAGTGTCATTGAAAATGAAAGGATATATTAAGATCCTTTCTCTTTAACATCGACATAAAAATATCTACTTTACAGTTATAATTTTATCCATAGAAGACCAAAATAATATTTCAAGTGCAATGCGCTTTTCTGTATTATATGTATGAATTATTAAATTTAAAAGGTAATACATTTGTTCATAAAAATTACAAGATCGTGTCATAAAACTTGAATTTTATATCATTTTATGCACATTTAACTATGTTTATAAAGAACAAATTTTTATAAATATTTTTGTTACTGCCGCCTGTTCAGTATGCTGTTAGAAGAGCCAGTTGTTATAGCTTTCGTGTTCGAATCCTGGAAAGAACATGGGCGTGTGTAATTCAAGTAATTCAATTGTCTATCCAACATTTCACTATGTAATATCAAATAACACCTTAGCGCATCTTGCACAACTCTTCCTTTGGTGAGACCGTCAAAAACCGAAACGTTCTGTCATTCCTCTCCGATAAAATATCCCAGCATTTGAAAACAAAAACATATTCCTTAATAGTATGCTATCCTGCAAACCATTATGGCTTTATCCAATAAAAGGAAGAAAAATAAAGATATCTCGAGTCAGTGTTAAATTATTCACTTGTAGATTACTTCGCATGCATCAGTGATAGACCGCAGATTCCTCCTAAATCAAATGCTAGGTCTAGCAAACATGCAAAAATCAAGGAAATATTTCAGTTAACGTATGATATGCGCAATAAATATGAAAAATTATATTTACCCTGCATATATTTTAGTTTTAAACTATTTGTTTCACGCAAATATTTATTTGCTTTAACTGTGCCATTTATTATAATTATCGGTCTTTTAGTCTGAAAGAGACAATTATTCACTTAAGTTTTGAGACAGATAAGCTTAATAAATGGCAAATTAATTCTTGAGCGTCGATTGTGTAATCTCAGATTCAAAATCAAATGAAGATAATCAATCATAATTAATATCAGCTTACTCTTCTTTTGATTTTCGAAGAATTTTCTGAAATAATTTCTCAGAAAAAAAAGTCGAGAAAGTGGAGTTTTAGTACAAAATGTGTTCTTGCTTGAAATAAGGGAAGTTATGTAACATTTCAGTTATATCGGTTTAAATAATACTCGTAAACAATCTAATTGAAGCAAATATACCAATATAGAATTTTTGCTTCACAATGCATTAATTGTGCAATGAATTTTTAATACTCTTCGGAGAGATAAAAATATATATGATGGTCATTTATACCAATATAAAATTTTTGCTTCACAATACATTTATTGTGCAATACATTTTTAATATTCTTTGGAGAGATAAGAATATATATGATGTTCATTTAATTTTTCATAAAAACAAAATTATACATGTAGTGCAAATTTTGAACACCAAATGGCGCACGGATTGCTCATCGTATAATTCTTTTAATGTTTTTCGTTTGTGAGTTGGCAGTTAGATGAGTTAGACGAAGTGAAAAAATTATGACGATAAACACGTAAATAAAAGTTTATCGCAAAAGTCAATTCAGTTTACATTAATTTATATGCAAAAATGTAAATATATTTGAACTGTAGTTAAACGCACTGTCCTTTCAAGCAGTTTCTTAGATGTATTTTTCAAGAAGATATTCACTACATACATATAAGATAAAAGTTTGTAAAGAAAATATCTAATTTTAATTGGCAATAACCTCTTTTATCCTTCATTTTAATTTAGGTATTACCCCTTTCTTTCCTAAAAACACTACTAATATATAAAGGTAAGATTAGTTCGAAAATGAAATCTTTTATATGTTTGCACTTTTTTAAATTTTTTAAATTTTTTTAACTTTAAATTTGCTTTTTTCATGTATATACATGTTTGTTAAAATTTAAATTTGTTTAAATTTAAATTTCATTCCTTGCAGCAATGGCGCAAAGAATTAATTAAATTTGTATTTAAATTAAATTTATTCTTATATATATATATGTGTGTGTCTGTGCCAGAAAAATAAAGAGTATGAAACAATTTAAATTAGCAGCGTAAATTAAATTCCCTTCTGTATTCTAAAAATAGTAACCTCTATTTGCACTAAGTCATTTCGAGACTATTCTATGTCATATGATTCTTACGTAATTCTGATGATGTAAATGGAACTAAAACTTTAACAGGCAATAGTAATTCAGAAGTCAAACAACAAAAATCAGCGTTATATTTACAAAATTTTCACAGGACTAGTTTCGATTGTTTTACCGAACCACCATCTTCAGCGGTTTTGCAGCTGAAGATGGTGGTTCGGTAAAACCATCGAAACTAGTCCTGTGAAGATTTTGTAAATATAACGCTGATTTTTGTTGTTTGACTTCTGAATTGGTATTTATTCGGCGTGTTATTGTGTCTTAATTAAGGCAATAGTAATTTTATAGCAGTATTAACTATCCGGTCAAAATGCATTGCGAACCAAAACTAACTCAATCTGAATTAAGATTTCACCCTCAACACAACGTACTTGCTTTCTAAGCTTTGACCCAGCTGGACCAGCAGTCTGTCTGCTCCTTCTTCATTACTGCAAATTTATCTAAAATATGAAACTTTTTGGTATAGGCACAATTAGTGCGCCAACTTGATTGTGGCCGCAGCATGTTTACTGATATAAAAGTTGAATTAAATATACCTTGATTGACAAATTTTTTATTCATTGTGGATCAGCATTTCAGCATTCTTCGACATCAAATTTCTTGCTTTCATTATGGATGCAACTACCTGCGTTCTACTAGAGAATCTATTACAACAGAGTCTGACAGGATACATATCTTGTGCGCTAAAATTCCAATGAAAAAGTCATCTCACTAAACAACCACCTTTTTAAACTTCGATGTGTAAAATAAATTTAAAAACGGATATTGAATATCTGCAAGTTCAAAACTCCGAAAGAGAAAAATGAAGTACGACATCACGGTGCACTCCTCTGAAGCAGAGAGGAAGTATTGTTTCGAATCAAGGTTATTAGATCAGTGTCTCAACGTAGTTAAATGTGATTAATACTTCTTGTTCGCATTATTTATGCATTTCTGATCATGGTGTAAACGTAAATTAAACATCCAAACTGCTTTGAAGGTCAACACTTTTATCAGTGAAATGTGAAATACGAAATAGTGTTTTCTGATCGTTTGCGTTTTCTGTGCTCATCTCATGCAAACAATGAATATTATCAAAAGTGATGTTGAAGTGCTATTAAGTTTAATTACAAAGCGAAACTTTTTTAATCGAGTAAATTAAATTTTAAAATAACTTTGCATTTATTAGTAATTGTATTACGATTTATTGAATCATTTTAAGATTAATATCATTAATTAAAAAATATGATTTATTTATAATGTATTTTCGTAAATTTGAGTTAAAAAATACTGAATTTGATAAATAGTAAAGAAATTTTAAGATTTTACTTACGGAAGGTTCCTAATACGATTAGTATTTTCATATTATTGTTTAAATGTCTGAATTTATATTTTTTAATTTTTGCAATATTTTAAGAATGAAATTATTGTTTGAAAACTTTAAAAAGTATTAGTTTCTTCAATTTTTATCTTGAAAACATTAAAAGAATTAGTGAAATAAATACAGAATAAGTAATATGAAATTATGGTAAATGTATGTTAAAATTTATGGGTGAGTGTATGATAAATGCAGCGTATGTTAAGGAGCACTGATTCCGAAACAAAAGCCTGTTATTACCTCTGCACAATTGTCCCTTTCACCCCTCTTCATATAAGATAATGTTGGAGGCTCTCATTTTATGAGTGAGTGTAATTTTTGCTTTCTTGTATGAAAGTAAAAAGGAAGTATTGTAATGGCGAAAAATTTCAGGCAGCATATTTCAACGAAAATATCCGTTAAATATCCGTTTTGACCACTATCGAATGCAATTTAACAATGTTTTTACCTGACATATGTACGTAAGGACAGAATAAAGGACTCTTTTTCCCCAAAAAAGTTATAAAACTGATTTTAAATGGATTCTGAAGAAATTTTATTGTGGCGTCTGTACGTAGCTACGTGTGTATGTGTTTATCTCGCATAACTCTAAAACGAGTACCCTCTGAAAGTTGAAATTTTGTATTTGGGGCTGCTATAACATGTAGATGTGCACCTCCTATTTTGATTGCAATCTGCCGCACCAAACGTATATAAATATAAATATATATATATATACTCTGTTGCTCGACTCAGTTAACTTACTTTCTTTATTCTTATATGTTTGTAAATTGTGTAATTGTTGCTTTAAAAATGATTGAATTATGTTGTTCTTATCTTCCGGTTAAGGTTTTTATGCCTTTAGTTAACCTGCATGTTATAGTTTCAGAATTATCAACAAGTTAAAATTTGTTTCAGTGCGGCTAAGCCTATTTTTGTTTTGACACAGCAGCCATATTTGTTTAAATTTGAAACTTAGCAGAATAGTGAATCTGATGCCAACCTAGAGAAACTAAGATTCGCAACAACGAAGTAACGTCTTCTTTTATTATTACGAATTAAATTATGCTTAATCCATTGTAGAATTATCATTTAAATTATTAAATTAACTCATATATTGACTCAGAATAGCGTCCACAATAAATTAAATACATTTCTACGCCTTCAGTGTCTTTGCCGAGTGAGACCAAAAGTAAACTTGTGCACCGAAAAATCTGTCTATTTGCCCGCTGGCCGAATTGCTTGTTTTTGCGTAGAAACCGTAATTCTAATTGAAAAAAATTAATTTAAAATTTTTTAAGCAAATATCAGAAATTGTTTGCACATTTCAGAAAATCATATTCACAGTATAACGCCAATTAGCAGTTTCATTCACAAAGATACATAAAAAACACGATATAACCAAAAGAAACTGTGCACTAAGCATGAAATTACAAATAATTCCTTAAGAAGGCAATACAAACTTCACAGCTCAGAAACAATTATGCACAATGAATAACTTGTTT